GAGCAGTCCTAGAAAGCGCCACTCCAACTCTTCCCCCAGTTTTGGATTAGCCATAGTAGGTGGAGGGAAGCATTACTAATATGGCAACAGCCAGACTCGAGCATTAAAACCACTCTTCAGAAAACCAATGGCTAACATTACAGAGAGCTTGTACATCTTTTATAAACAGGTAGTGGTGTTTGCTCTGACTTATACGAACACATATCTAAGGCTCCCCCTTGAAATTGCAAGAACCACTATTAGCCAGTGGCTGGATCTCAGAACCCATATGACTGTAAGATTTGATTCTTATAGACTCGAGTTACTTTAGAAGCTTTAGTTACCTCTCATACCTTTAGTTCCCTCTCATAACTTTAGTTCCCTTTAGTTACCTCTCATAACTTTATCTTACTTGCTGTATTAATTATTGTGCAGAACTACTGAGCTTTGGTTACTTTCTAATATATTTATTATCCTTTCTTATATGTCTTACAATTGTAATGAGGTAGAATCTGCACCTTCTGAATGTCTGCATTCCCCAGGCAACCAGACGACCTATTTACATTTTAACAAAGCCCCGCCAGCCCACACCTGGACACACATAGCATATCCCAAGTTCTGCCCCACCAGGGGGTGTCTTTCACACACAGGGAGTCTCATCACCTGAGATGACCATTTGGCCAGTTTAGCATATTTATTGTCTCACACACATAGGGGGCTTGCAACCCAGTTAATCCATTTTTCTGTGTGCTTGATCAAGACCAAGTTACCATATGAGACACACACACACACACATGCATACACCTAGACTTTAACACATTGAAACAAGGGGAGCTCTGGTTCACACCAAATGGACAACAGGATCAAAAGATGTTTACCTCTGTCCAGGGCAAAGCAGCCCAAGAAGATAAAATGCATTGTAAAACATGATTCAAGATTCAGAAGTTGGTTTTCCTGCGGGAGCTCTATCTCTCTGAATCCAGCGCTGTAAGACTTGCCTGTAATCAGACTTTCAGTAAACTTTCTGTTGATTTTAAACAGTCCTCTCCTGCCGTCACTTCTCGTGCTTCCAACAAAAGAATTGGGTTAATTTCTAACATGACCTAAAGACTCCAAACATGGCAGATATGCATACTACTCAGCAATAACTGACCTCATGGTGGCGCTATAATCAGCTTTTTACGTTTTAGCCAATAACCTAAGAAGTCTAGGACTACACTCGTTTCACCTGGTTTCTGTGCATGACTTCACATCATTGGGAACAAGACCTCTAATGTGTTATGAGTTTATTTCAGCTAAACCATAGGTGTTAGGTCAGTGTCACATAATCAGGAGAGCTGACGAATAAACACGTGAAGCTATCTGAAAGTAACAACAAACAACCCATTTCATTGGTTCCTGTGTGACTGTTAATTATTTACCGATAGTTGGGATGGTGGTGACGATCTCTCCGAGCTTCAGTTTGTACAGGATCGTCGTTTTTCCAGCTGCGTCCAAACCCACTGAAACAGGCCAAATATTCCACTTTAGACAACATAAAGTTGCTTTAAACGACAGATAACAGCTCCAGGTAAATTCTGGTTAAAGCATTTGCATTTAATTTAACTTTTAAATAGACCAATAAAGTGTTAAAATTGGCCATTAAACTAATGCAGACACTTCAACCACCTCCATCAGCCTCCTTTGGCTGAGCGTTAGCTTCTGACGGCTATCAATGTTAGTTCATAACCTTAACATTTTCTGTTCAAGACTTAAACTTGGTTTAATCCGTCTGGACTTTCTGACTGCGAACAGGATCCGATAAGTCGGTTTAAACATAAACCTCAATATAATGAGTGCTTTTAGTGCCCTGCTGGTTAGCCTTGATGTTAGTTAAGCTAGCCGCGGCGCTCACCCATCAGGATCCTCATCTGCTTCTTGCCAAAGACCCTGGAGAACAGCGACGAGATCGTTAGACCCATTTTACTAATATTTCCCGGTTTAAAGTCGGAAAAATTAAAAACCTGACAGGGGGAAGTTTCGACCGGTTAATCCGGTAGCAGCTGCTAGGCAGAGACCAAAAATGAATCAGAATGGGCGCAGCACCTCCTCGATGCCACGTTCAGGACAACGCGGAATAATTGACGTCACTTGAACTGAAAAAAACTTTATTGAAACACTACAATGCTGCGTTCATGGGTTCCCAGAGAAGGTGTAGATTCGGAAACTTTGTATTTTACAACACTACAATTGAAGTAAACAAGTGCCCAAACTTCGTTCACTTTACACAATCTTGCATCTTCAAAAATGTGCGTATTATTAGTTTATGTGTTTGTTTAGTCTGAAGTTGTTGCAGTCGGGCCCAAAAACCTCAGAAATATGCTATTATAGTTACTCTAGATGGCATAGCCCTGGTCTCCAGTACTGCTGTGAAAACCTTTGAAGTCACTGTTGACCAGGATGTATTTTAACTCATACATAGGCTAAACCAAGTCTCTAGAACTGCCTTCTTTCACCTCCATAATATTGTCAAAATCTTCCTCTCTCAAAGTGATGCTGAAAATCTGGTCCATGCATTTGTTACTTCCAGGCTGGACGGCTGTAACTATTTACTATCAGGATGTCCCAGTAAGTTCCTAAAAAGCCTCCAGTTAATCCAAAATGCTGCAGCCAGAGTACTGACAGGAACTAGCAAGAGAGATCATATCTCTCCCATATTAGCTTCTCTCCACTGGCTCCCTGTAAAATTCAGAATAGAATTTAAAATCCTTCTCCTAACATACAAAGCCCTTAATGACAAGGCTCCATCGTATCTTAAAGACCTCGTAGAGCCTTATCATCCTAACAGAGCACTTTGCTCTCAGAGTGCAGGCTTACTTGTGGTTCCTAGAGTCCACAGAAGTAGAATGGGAGACAGAGCCTTTAGCTATCAAGCTCCTCTCCTATGGAACCAACTTCCAGTCTCAGTTCGGGAGGCGGACACCCTCTCTACCTTTAAGAGTAGACTTAAGATTTTCCACCCCATAATGCTATGCTCTGCTCTGCTCTGCTCTGCTCTCCTTTCCTCTCTTCTCCTCTCCTCCCTTCCCTTCTCCCCTCCTCTCCCGTCCCCTCCGCTCTTGGTGTTCAAATTTTTTTGTTATTTGTGTTGCTTAGCGCTGTCACCTCACAGTACAAAGATTGTAACCCTATTCATGAATAAACATTATAAATAAATTGATGGATGGATAAAATAAATGTTTATCAAAGTCAAAGTGTTTAATGTCATATGTACAATAAGGAACCATGTTTCCCTGCACAATGAAATTCTTACTTTGCTATTCACAGTGAATGCCGAACAATATAAAATAAAATCGCTAAATAATAATACAAAATAAAGGCACTTTAAAACAGCAAGTTAAAAATATAATAAAAAATGTAATAAGAATACAATAGAATATATGCTAGAATCAGCTTTATGTGCAACAGTCAAGCAATGGATGTGCAATTATGCATGTGCAAACTGAGAATGTAAGTAAAGGTGGCATTACATGAAGTAATTCCTGATTATAAACTCCTGTCAGCTGTTTAGGAGTCTGATGGCAGTTTGAAAGAAAGAGTCTAGAAGTCCTGCATTTCACACTCCTGTACCTCTGGCCAGAGGGTAGAGGTGTGAACCGTGCTGGGAGTAGGCAGCTATCCTACGCACCCTGCAATGATAAATGCGCTGCAGAGAGGGCAGTGGAGTCCTGGTGATCTTCTCCACAGTCTTTACCACTCTCTGCAGGTACTTGCAGTCCATACCAGACAGTGATGCAGCTGATCAAGATGCTCTCGATGATGCAGCTGTAGAAGTTGCAAAGGATCCTAGGCGACATGCCAAACCTCCTCAGCCTCCTCAGGAAGTACAGACGCTGTTGGACCTTCTTGACCATCTGTGTGGTGTTATGTGTCCAGGTGAAGTCCTCACTGATGTGGACGCTCAGGTATTTGAAGCTGCTCGCCCTCTCCACTTTGAGCCCCCAGATGAACAGTGGCTGATGAGATCTCCTCTCCTTCCTCATGTCCACTATCATCTCCTTCGTCTTGTCCGTGTTGAGGCTGAGATTATTGTCCTTGCACCATGACACCAGACCAGCCACCTCCCTCCTGTAGGCTGCTTCATCCCCGCTGGTAATTCGACCTATCACTGCAGTTTTGCCCACAAACCTTAAGATGATGTTATCCTTGTGGGAGGCGACACAGTCATGGGTGAACAGGGTGTAGAGTATGGGACTGAGGATGCATCCCTGTGGACTGACAATGTTTGTAATAACATGTTGTTAGTGTGTTCTTTTGTTTCAAACAGTATTGGAGTCATTGACTTTTTCCCTAGTTTATTACCTTATTGTTTTGATTACTGTAGATCACCAAAATATATTTAATATACAAGCATGGATTAAATCAGTGCAAATGAATATTATTTTCCTGTTTTCAGTTGTCACTGTTTTGAAATATGCCCTTAGTTTTGATGTTAGGACCATCTTTTAATTTTTATTAAAAAAAAAACGTTTTTAATGTTTTGTGTACTTGTTACAGAAAAAAATGTTTACACAAAAACTGTTTACTTTTATATGAAGAAATTCTACATTTTACTAAGATTCAGTGGAAAAATGAACATGATGAATAACAATGGTGATATTTTGAGTTGTAATACTTTTAGTCCGTCCATCTAACCATTTGGGGAGGCGACAGTGGTGCGGTGGGCAGAGCAGTCGTCTCCCAACCCAAGGTTAAAGGTCTGAATCTCGGTTCCTGCAGTCACGCTTTATACTATGAATAATGAGAAATAAACATTGAAAAACTTGAAACCTTATCACTAACATAGTTAAATAAATAAAAAATAATTGTAGCCAGGCTGGTAGACAATTTGTTGATTACCACGATGTAAAAACAAGATAGGAAAGTTTTCAGTTTTTTCCTTTTGA